TAATCGATTGGATTCAATCTTTTAATGTGGTTCAACCCAAGTGTCTTATTGCCCAATCCAGTTGTCCATACCCATCCCAAATTCTATCATGGTATCAGAGCCAGTTTTAGCCCACCTCGTTTGTCAAGGTGTCCGTCTAGACGTTCATTCCTAGCGGCCCGTTAGTCTTTAGCCCAGTTGTCCGTATGGAGGTTGTACCCAACGGCCTGTGGCATGTTTAACACGATTGCTCGTCTGGAAGTCCATACCCAGCGGCTCGTGGTCCTTTAGGTGTTGGCGCTCAAAAAAAAAGAGCCAAGGGAATGGGAGTTCATCTGCAAGTGGTCAACCGGTTAGATTCAAAATGGCCCGGTTGTCCACTTGAGGGGGAGTGTTAGAGTACATCCCACATCGGAAATCCAAGAGTAAAATAATCGGTATATAAGCTCTAGAGTTGAACTAAGTAATCGATTGGATTCAATCTTTTAATGTGGTTCAACCCAAGTGTCTTATTGCCCAATTCAGTTGTCCATACCCATCCCAAATTCTATCAATAATAGTAGTAGTAGTAGTAGTAGTAGTAATATCTGATCTGAACATTGTTATCTGATCTGGTCTTATCTGATCTGGTCTGGTCTTAGTAATAATATCATATCTAAATGTTAATATTAGACCTGTTTTTCTTCTCTCAAAAAAGAAAGGGAAAAAGACAAAAATAGGAGTAAAACATTGAAAATATACCAAAGTAAGACTTCCATGGTTTTACTCCCGAGATAAGAGTTAAAATGCATTTACATTACCAAATATGGTCATGTACATTACCAAAAAGTACAGTAATGTGCACATGTACAGTGCCACATTACCACTACATTATCTCTGTTAAAATTCCGGCGGGCCGATAACAACGGATAGAGTGTCGGGTAAAATTAACCACTTGCATATAAAGTCGGGATCCACAATTCTAACCCAAAAACTTAAGCTGATAGGTAGGGCTTCACCCTTCAATATATGCAAGTGATACTCATCTTTATTTTCCGATGTGGGAACTCCAACACTCCCCCGCAAGTGGTAACTAGCCTGGCCTAGTTAGCACTTGGACAAACGGGTCTAGCATCTCAATCTCTTATAGCTAGCCGACACAACTGGCGGTGGCATCTCAATCTCTTTTTAGCCAACTCAGCCCAAACAACCAGGAACAATCAAACCCGGACCGGACCTGCTCTGATACCATGTTAAAATTCCGGCGGGCCGATAACAACGGATAGAGTGTCGGGTAAAATTAACCACTTGCATATAAAGTCGGGATCCACAATTCTAACCCAAAAGCTTAAGCTGATAGGTAGGGCTTCACCCTTCAATATATGCAAGTGATACTCATCTTTATTTTCCGATGTGGGAACTCCAACAATCTCCACATTACCACAGTGCGAACTCTTATTTCGGGAATAAAAACATGGAATTCCTATTTTGGTATTTTTTCTATGTTTTAGTTTTATTTAATATGATTTCAACTATTTGAAATTATTTTCTATAGATGAATTTAATTGATACTCCCTCCGTCCCAATGTTTTTGTCCACTTTCCTTATTTAGTAAAAATTCAGACTGGAATTTGACATTTGCCCTCTAATTTGATTCAGCTTTTAAACCAATTAAATCTAAATTTGAGACAAAAGCATATGAGAGACTTCCTATCCACCATTGAAGACCATTGACGTGAGGCAAAGCAATTAGGAGAAGTTGAAAAAAATCATAGTTTCTGGCTTTCTGCAATCGGATCTGAGACTTTCTCTCCATTCAAAAATAAATAAATTAAGAAATACTCCGGTAGAAGGGAAAATAAATTCAATAGCGTTGACATCCTTATTTCAAGAAGAAGAAAAAGCTCAACTGCGAGGAGCTGCTGAGAACCTACCGGATCTGGATATGCCGTTGAATCACCGGAAAGACCAAATTGATTTTTCATTAGATTTGTTTTTCGTTTCTATGAATCAAGGTCGATTTTCCATCATTTCTGATGGAGCCAAAAATTCACTTTACTTTTCTCTTTAAACTGTCTGCACCTTATTTCATAGCGAAGTAGCAGTTAGTCAATCACCTACATTACTGGAGTAATATCCCATTTCGTAATTCTTCTCCATAAACAAAGCAACTAGGAGACTGACTACAAACAGTAAGATGTTGGGCATAGAAGAAATCGTTGCAACTCAATCAATATTAAAAGTGCCAATATTTGAACGGTGTAATGAAGGTTTGCTATTGGATAGTCCTTCTTGGGATTTACCTGTCTAATCAGTAATCACTCTTCAGTTTATGCTTGTTTAGATTTGTATTGATCATGATATCTTTTCATTTTTGATGAAGGGTAAGCAGGATCCTAAACAACTCCAGCAACCTCACAGTTCTCATACAAATGCTCTTTCACAAGTTGTTCCAAATAACCTGAATGGAATTATTTTGACGTGAGATCCTACTCAACCCAACATTATTGATAACTATAATACATTGTAATTTGATATGAACATTTTTTTTTGTCAATATTAGCTTTCACTTGGTTTTCTATTACTGAAGGCCTCTGGATCTTTGTGATGCACCTTCATCTAGTCTTGACATCTCGTCCCTTGGATTCCAAAATCCAAATTCAAGTGGATTACCTGTTTCAAATCAGGGTTTGGGGCCAATGTCTCCGTCTGGTGCAATATCTGCAACAGTGCAAGGGTCTCTGAATGTGATTCATGGAAATGACTTTTCTTCACCATCAAGTACACTGAATGCCACTGTCAGGTAAAGGGGTGTTATTTTATTTTCATAAAAAAATAGGTTTTTCTGATATTGTATCCTGCTTTATTATGTTAAGTAACCGTTTGATTTTAGTTATTTTGCTGAAATGAAATGGCTATTGCTGAATTTTCTGACAGAACTTGCATTAATAGTCTGGTAAAATCAATTTCAGCGAAATAAATAAGTCAAAGGTTACTTATTGTGATTATTTTGCTGATCAGCATTATAAGCCGATTGGTGCAACCAAACAAGCTTGAATCACATATTCTCTCCTGTCTCAAGCTCATTTCTGGTATTCTGATTTAGAGATGCCAAATATGTATAAAGATCCACATCTATGCTACTTGGGAGAAGCATATCCATTTCATCTGGTTCTGGAGCTCCTCAGGGGCCTGATTGTGGTGGTCCTCAGGGGCCTGATTGTGGTGGTGGGGTCTGTGTGCTGCCTGATGGAAATGGCATGGGGATGATTTGTGGTATGAATGGAGGCATGCCTACAGCCAGGCATGGCTTTCAAGGAATTGACTCACCATCTATGCCGAGTTCTGGGATTATGACTTTTAGTATGGTAGCAATGCCAAACACGGTAAATATGCACCCTGGAGTAGGCTCTGGTCAAGGCAACTCAATGTCGAAACCTCATGACAACTTGCATATGATGGGGGTTAGTTATTTCCTGTTTTTCAAAAATTTATCTTCAGAATGTATTGATCTCCTATTAGTCTCCTTATATAAGTGCTCACTTTTGCAATAAAAGAACGGCTAGGTTCTAGAGCCACTCAAAAAGAGTGGCTACCGAAGCCACTCACCCAATTGGGACACTTACGGTGCTCCATTCGCAAAATTGATAGTTCCTACACCCTCTAACCCCCCAGTAAACCCCCGCACCCGGTCCCGATCCCAACTCATCCCCCTAACCACGTCAATTGCGGGGTTAACCGGGGGATTAGGGGGGTAGGAATCATCAATTTTATGAACGGAGCTCCGTAGGGGGGCAGTGGCTTCCGTAGCCACTGAAAACCAGTGGCCACCGAACCGGGCCGATAAAAGAATAGTCAAGGGATAATCACCCATAATTAGTGTTATTAATCTTTTATATTAATTCATGTTATGACCTCAGACTTTGTGAGCTCACAATAGGTGCCATTGCACAAAATGAAAAAAAAAACAATTATTTCATTTGCATGTGTCAGGGGCTTTGTTCCCATGGGTAGTCCTAATTATTGTATCAATTAACCTCAAGTGCAAACACGAGTACATAACGTGTAGGCCCTACCTGTTTGTGTTGCAGCCTATCCAAAATCAAGAAACTCCAAGGCAGATGATGATTGCTGATCTTCAGGTTCAGGACCTCAGCCAAGATGTACCACCTCCGTTGGGGGGTTTTATTCCATCATACCTACCTCATCATCATCAGCCCTCTCAATTGTCACACATGCGTAGTAGTCCTCTTCATTCTCATGCTCCAGGTGCTGCCAATCATGCCAGCGACACACAGCAACCAAGTTATGCATCACATTTGACAAAAGAAAAACAAATGCATTGGCGACATGTACAACAAAAGCAGAAGTTTAATACATCAAACTCTTTAACACGGTCTGTACAGCAACACCAACTTCCTTTGTCTCCCACATTTCATAGTAGTCTCCAAATCACATCACGAAGTCCTCCACATGCTTCACTTTCTCCCTTGTCGTCAACTTCCTCAGTTGCTTCAATGCCGCAACATCCTTCAAAACATTCTATGTCGCGTCATGGCCATTTCCAAAGTGCTCAAAATGGTCCCACAACTAATAATTTGAGCAAACAACAGCAACAAACCAGCAGGAAACACCCTCAGCAGCAGCAGAATATCAAAGTTTCAAAGGGAGTAGGGCGAGGGAATGCATTGAATCAGGACATGCAGATGTACCCCTCTGCGTTGAACCAAACCTCATTAAATTCAAGAACCACCATAGCTACAGAAAAAGGTGATCAGCTGACTAACCTAGTGCAAAATCAGGGACTGTATACTGGGTCAGCAACAAATGATGTTTGTCCTGCAAAATCATCATCTGCTCTTGATGTAGGACAGCCTCCGCAAAATATGCATCCTGGCAAAGCTGCAAAAAAGCGACTTAAGCCAATGGCTCCTCGTTCTGCTAATAAGAGTAAAGTTCATAGTATGATAACTACATTGGAGTCAAGCCCACCTTCTGGCTATCACTCTATTGCAATGCCAGTCATCAGATATTCCAATCACCAACCTCTTCCACATTCACAGTCTGAGGTGCACACACAAAAAAAGTTATTAAACGAAAGTCACACTAATGAGTCTGAATTCAATCAGCATACTGTGAGCAAATCTACTCCTATTGGAACAGTTAAGCAAACAGCTAGTGAGTGCAACATCTCCTAATGTTTCCCAGTTGAAGGCTGCTGAACCATTATTTTACTCAGTGGGTTCTCTTCGAACTACTGCTGCTGTTTGTGATGATTCTTCTCTAGGTATTCAGGGGTTGAACCAGAGGCTATCTTCGGGCGGCTTATCCCCTGTGAGGCATGATGCTAGCTTGCAATGGGAGCACCAGCAGCAACAGCAATAGCTTTGCCTACCCTGCAACATTTTTGCTGCAGCCACGGGTTTTGCAATCAAGAAATAGCAGTTTTCTTGTCCCTGGCTCCCAGTTCTTGTTGATTGGATTGATGTGCACCCAGCAAGATTGGGAAGAACCGAAGAAATCTCATGGTGGCTGATCATATCCCTATGACTGGGTTGGCATGTGCTAAAAATTGTAGTGTACAGGTCAATATTCCTTTTTTATAAATATGCATCAATCCTTCTGTTTGATAGTGTATAGCAGTGTTTTACAGTTTACACACATCACCCACTTGGGCTAAATTCGCATTTTCCCCCCCTGTAAACATAAAATTATCATTCATTCTGTTGCAATGAATTCTATTCACTTGCTGAGTCTTGCTTGTTGTGCTTTGCAGGTGAAATCCAGGTTTTGCTAGACTAGGGATGTCTATCTGCCGTTGGTTGTAAGTAAGATAGCACTAGATATAGAGGTACGCACGTGTACAGCTTTTTTTCTTTTTTTTTTTAATATTTACTTTCTTAAACCCTTGGTTCCCGGGTACATCGAAGGGGTGCTATTTTCTTGTGTTATTTCAGTGGTAGTTCATTCCATGGTTTATGGCTACCACTTTTGTGAGGGGGTAGCTATAATTTCTATAGCAAAATGAAGCTGGATGCTGTGAATATGAGCCTCTTAGTGTATACATACTAAATGCATACACCTTATCCATGTTGTGGTCTGTTATGGTTGCCCTCTTGCACTGAATTTCGTTAATCCTTTTTTTTAGAATGGTGCGACGTAGAATGCGTGTTATATACTCCCCCCCTCATAGATTCTCATTACGCATTGTAAACTAGACCTTACAAAAATTGATTCGACCTACTTGTTGAACGAACGCAAACATAATCGACCCTGAAATGACCCATAAAAAATGGGTCATAATCGACCGAATGATCCGTGAAAGTAATACTTCTAAAATCATGTAGTATTGTATGAAAAATAATGTATTAAAATAGAGTTGTGTTATAATTTTTTCTCATTAATGGTTTTACTACGGAGTATATAAACTTAAAATTTTAAACAAATTTTTAATGATATCACATAGTTATCTTATATTTTTTTTAGATTAATACGTATTTAATTTTTATATTATTCACAATATTATTAAGTATATCTAAAAGTATTTCATTTTTCTATCATTCATAATATTATTAAATATATCTAAAAAGTACTCCCTCAGTCTCAATTTATAATGCTTCTTTTGGTTTACGATGTTTGACTGCAATTATTTTCAAATCGTTTTATATGACAAATGATATAGAGCTAAAAAATAAAAATTACATATTAAAATACTCCGTACTACATTAAAAAATTTACAAAACTAGTAGTGACAATAGTATTTTATTTTATCAAATTGCTAACGAAAATAGAGAAAGAAAATGAATGAAGTTTGACCCTGTAAATAATGAACATGCATTATAAATTGGGACAATGGAAGTAATTAAAAGTTAAAAATAAAGTATTTTAAGAGCTTTAAGAGGTGTATGTTGAAATTTAGTGTTAGTATAAATCTTAATATTCTACAAATTAATTTCATATGCGTTGGGTTGACTCGAACCTGATGAAATTGGATCATTAACATATAGCTCTTGACCTGAATTTAAAATGACCTAAATCTAATACAACTTAGACCTAAGGTGGTCGAATTCGAACCTGACCTGATTGACCGACTCTCCACGTCTAATTACGAGACTTGACACACTACAATTCAATTTATTTGATTATAAGTATAAAATTTAATAATAAATATTTGAACATAATTTTTTTAAAACAAGAAATGTCAAGACTATATTATTTTAAAGAAGTCAACCTAAATACGAGTAAAACTAAGATAAAATACCAAAATAAAAATTTCATATTTTTATCGCCAAAATAAGAATTTACACTAAGATATTGTGATACTATACAAACATTTCACAATATTTTTAGAATTATATATATGAAACTCCTATTTTGATATATTTTTTATGTTTTACTGTTACTTTAGTCTTTTTCCTCTTATTTTTTGAATTTAATTGTAAAAATAAATAAATAAAATGAATTAAGTTAACAAATTACAAATACTATTTCCATCCCAGAATTACTTGTTATTTTTTTTCTTGGTTAATGGTTTCTAACTTTGACTATAGAATTTGAAAAAATATATTGAGTTATGATATTAATTTACAGTCCGTTTGGTGAGTTTGGAGATATGGTAGGATATAAGTTATGAAATCAAAGAAAAATGATATGTGTTTTAAAATCTGAAATGAGTTTATTTGAAGAGATACAAAATTATGATTTATAAAGTGATAAGCAAGGGTGACCGGCAACTGAGGCAGTTGGGGGTGACAATGATAGCGAGTGACGGAAAATGATCAATGATTGAGTGATAGCAAATCCCCATATTGCTATTTCCCAAATTTGATAGATATCAAAATCTTCTATTTGAAAAATTTATGATATCTGAAGATCAAATTCAATATCTTTTTGACTTCACAAAACACCCCAAAAGAAGTCTGATATTTGGAGATATCAAAATTTATATCTTATTTATTCACTCAACACATCCTTATTATCAACAAATTTATTTTAAAATAAAGGTTAAGAATATCATACTTTAAGAAATTTAAAATTATATCTAAATAGAAAAATATTAATGGAGGCCGGTTCTAGAGCCACTGGAATCCAGTGGCTAAAGAAGCCACTGCCCCCCTACGGAGTTCCGTTCANCCCAGACTATTTCCCCCCACTTAGGGATGTAAACAAATCAAATATTTTAAATTCGATTCGTGATTTGTATTGGAATATGATGATTCGAATTCGCATTATTCAAACACAAATTCAAATTCAAATATTATTTTTGATTCAAATATTAAACAAATATAAATAGGGATATATTCGATTCGAATGATATTTGAATGTTCGAATATATGTATATACACAAACAGATCATGTTTTCACCATCAATATTCAAGCAAACGAATATAATATAAAGTGCATTTAAATTATTAAGATTCGACTAATTAACGTAACACAAAAATCTAAAGCATATGATTTTTCATAGTTATATTTTATAAAATATAATTTGTGTAAAATGCAAATGTATTAATGTTTTTAGATACAGAGTATAATATAGTATAAGGAGTATCTTAAATTAAATTACAAATCGATATTGGTCCATCATATAAATTACAGAGAATGATTATTCAAATATTTGTTTAGGATTCGTTAACTATTCGAATATTAATCAATTACATATTCAAATCTTATTTTGAATTCGTCCCATATTCAGATTCGGATTCAAAAAAATTAAACAAATACAAATTCAAATATCTGGTTATTCACTTCGATTCGGTTCGTTTACACCTTTACCGACCCCACCTACGTCAATTGCACCTCGCAAGTATAATTGACTTCAAAATTAAATTTTTTGACTTTATACTTGCGAGGTGCAATTGATGTAGGTGAGGAGAGTAGACTTGGCGGGGGGATTTACCGAGGGTTAGAAGGGGTAGGAATCATAAATTTCATGAACGAAGCTCCATAGGGGACAGTGGCTTCCATAGCCACTGGATTCCAGTGACTCTAGAACCGGCCTCATATTAATGATCAATGTAGTGCATTGAAAATTGTAAAAAGTACAAATATGTAAATAGCAAATAGTACTTACATACCTGAGTATTTATCCAATTTTATCCTATTTCCAACCTTTAATCTTTAATTAAATAAAATACTCCATATATTGTATATTAATTAAATTAATTAAATTAAATTAAATTTTAAAAGATATATATAATAAATATAATAAAACCCATAGATAAAAGTTACTCCCTCCATCCTATAATGATCTTCCCAGTTCGCAAAACGAAGAAAAATCCCAAGTTTTTTCAATCTATTTTATTTAAATATTGACATAGAAATAAAAAATAAACATACATATTTAAAAACTACACCAAAAGTTCAACAAAACAAGTGGTGACAAGAATATTTTATTTTATCATATAGACCATAAAAAAACACAAATAAATATAAATTCCCGTGAAGTTGGAATAGTGCTCTGGGAAGATCATTATAGGACGGAGGGAGTAAAAGTTACCAATTTTGGTAAAAAATATAAATATAGATAAATATTCAGGGAGAAGGAAATATTTGATGATTTTGGAACGGAGTACCCCATTTTGTTCAAACACTCAAAGTCGCCAAGCAAAATATGAGAAGGAAGTATATATAGCCTTCTTCTTCTACATTGATGCAGAGATGGAAGATGAAACTGCATTGCAGTTGAGCTGAGTTATAGACAACAATGGCGGAGGAAAGACATTCCTTTTAACATTTCTTCTTGCTGTTCTTATTATTGATGTCACCGGATGCTGCGGCCTTCCTGGCCAGCTTTTCCTGTAGTGCCTTGGCGTCACGCTCCCTTCTCTGCTCGGGGGTCAATCCATCTTCCTTGGGGTTCTTGGGCTTCTTCTGGCCTGACCTTGCTTGTGCCCTCTCCCGGTCTCTTTCCCTCTGATTGCCCCGTTCCCCTTTCGTTAAGGCTCAACAACACAAATCATCTCACTGGCTCATGATTGTTTCAACAAGAATTCCATGGATCTTCAAGGCTACTTCCTCCTAGACTTGCCAATCGATCCGTAAGATTGGATTCGGTCACTTTTAAATTCGGGTTGCATCGAATTCGAATTAGTTCAATTCGAGTAAAAAACTATATGTTCATGATCCAGTATCATCGAATTCGAGTCAAAACCTAATATTTTGGAATTAGATCTTGGATAAGAAACAAGTCAGATCAATTTTCACCAAGTACTTCCATCCCAAAATAAAAACTCTTTTTGTAGGTATTGTTAATTTTATTTGTTCAAAAAATTGAAGCAAAATTTACAACCAAATTCCAAGAACTCTACAAATCAGGGCGATATGACTATTATTTTCTCATAGTAGTGATGCAAATAAACAAAAACATAATTGATGAAGTTCGATCAGCCTGGGAGTTTATTTTGGGACGGAAGTAGTAATATTCCTTCAAAAGTTTTTGGCAATCCAAATAGGAAAAAAAAGATCGATCAATCAAAAAATCAGAGAGGAGAAACATATCAAGAGGATATGAGACATTCTCGAATTCTCTGACTGCCAAACAAGGATCTGGATATTGAATTCCCTGCTTCGAGAGACTCAAGAGAATATAGACCCCTGGAGAAGAAAAAGAAGAATGATAAGAAGAAGAAAAGCTGGATCGATGAAGGCGTAATGAATTCCAGGGACTGATTTTTACCTGATTATGGAAAGGCGGCGATGATTAGTCAGAGAGAGGCACTTCCAACTTCTTATTGGATTATTGAAGAAGAAGATGAAGAAGAGGAAGATGATTGGGGAATCTGAGAGGGTGAATGGCCTGGTATATTTAAAGCGTCTAAAAGGGATGAATTGTTTCGCAATCGGTTTCTGGAAGGATCCAGAGAAGACGGGAAGTCGGGAATATTTCTTTCACGGTGTTTTTTTTTTCTTTCTTGCGGTTCTTTTATTTCAATTTTTTATGGTTAATAAATGGATATGAACAACAAATAACTATTCACCGAGACGCCCACTAACCTAATTCTTATGTAATCTTGGAATTTATTTTTATTTTATGAATATTAAGGTCTCTTTGGGAATTGAGATTAACATAATTAGAACAGAATCAAAATTCTATGGAATTGATTTAGATGGAATTGAATTTTCCAATTTTAATTCATTTTTGGTACTACTAATTCCAAATTCACATATTTTGTGCTACCAAACAGCAAAATTGAAATTATTGCCCATAATTCCAATTCTATAATTTAAATTACGTGTACAATACGAAGTCTCAGTGTATTGAAATCATAAAAATATTGAGTCTTTTGAAAAAAGAAAAAATTCACTTGCTAGTCTTTTAAAAATGTGAAAAATGTCTACATTACATATGTACCTTAGAACTATGGAAGAACAATTCATTTTGGAAATGTGAAAAATTAAAGATTGGTTCGTTTGAGCCACCAAGTCCGTTTATTTTCTATTTTCATTGCCCATTTGATAAAATAAATAGTAATGTCACCTCTTGTTTAGTAAAGCTTTTCATATAGTTTTTTGATATGTAATTTGTTTTAATTCTAGCTACTTCGGTCTCAAATATATTATATTGAAAACAATTTTAATCAAACATCGTAAAATAAAACAAATAATTTAAATTGAGATGGAGGAAGTATTAGATTATTAGGGCACTGAAAATACCTGTGAAGCCCCGAGGAAGTATTAAATTCTCTCTCTGCCATTTCAGCTTTAACTTACCTCACAGTTTCAGTGAAAATGGGTTTGAAGCCCCCGGGACTTCAAATTGGAGCTTCAAACCTTCATTTTTAATATTTTAAATATACATCTTCTAAAATTAAATTAATAAAATATAATTATTTAATTATTTAAAATAATTAAAAGGAGAATAGTTCATTAAAAAATTACATTCATTAAAAAAAATATTATATCCATGAAAAAAATATATTCTTTTAAAAATATTACATCCACAAAAAAATACATTCATTAGAAAAATATTACATCCATAAAACAATTACACAACGAATAAAATAATGATTATTTGAGCGACTGAAGATATGTTCGATCAAATCCACCGTTAGTGTATTGTGAATCTTTCGGCTTCGAATTTCTTGGCGGTTTCTTCGTTTCTTTTCTTCGTCGAAGCAACAGCTTCGAGCATTACTGTAGGCTTGGGATGATCCCCCGGGAGAACTGACCATGCCACGCAGTGGGACAATTTCTTCATTCCCAATGGGTGCAATCAATGTTCCCAAGCATGCCGACAAAGCCGTGTTTAGTGGCATGCCTTGCGTGAAACTGCTGAATGTCGCTCGCTGTAGGCTTGCGTAATTATCTTTATGATAAATTAGGATAATAGCTTTAGAAAATTTATAAACACAGGACCTGATGCTTCGAACTGACATCTTCAAGTATTCATCGAACATATCAGATGTCGTCCCGTACGCCATCTGACAAAGCGCGGCACTGCACTTCTGGACACTACTAAACCCGCGTCGCCCTCTCGCATCAAAGCGTTGGGTGAACCAAGGCACCTTACGTTCAATATCGGCGAGTATGCGTAAAAAGAGAGGACGACTCATCCAAAAACGATTACTAAAATCTTCCAGTGTATAAACACACAGAGTATTGAAGTAGTTGTTGAGAAGTGAAGCGTGGGCAGTCGCTCGATCCTGGTTTAAACATTGTCGTTGGGTCTAGCGTCGGGAGGATTCTGCTTCTTCTTTTTCGACTTGTTGCCACCATTGATGACAACTCATGGCGAAACAGCGAAAAACGAGAGCTCTCTTTTCATCATCGGATGAAGATGATCCCATTTTTAAAATATATTTTAGAAATAATTACATAACTAGAAAAATATTGAAAGAATATTTGATATAGAGAGAAGATAGTGAGAGATAGGTTTGTTTTAATTGAATTTTATAGCTTTTTTATTTGAATTTAAAATTTTTTTGGTGGTTAACGGCTAAAAGAGCCGTTGGGGGTGGGGGAGCTGCGTCAAAGCTTTAACGCATGGGAGCTGACACCCTTTAACATCGCCAGGGGCGGTGTTTAACGCCCTTTATTTGAGCGTCTGTTAGCGGGTATTTGAAATTGGGTCGTAAATATTGTTATCGGGCCTGTACATTTAAGCCCATCGTGTACTTGTATATATATCGGTTTGTGAATAATGAAACACAGAACAGTTTCTGCTAAATTTCAACATGGTATCAGAGCCTAAACCCTAGGCCTTCACGCGTCTCTGCTCTCTGGCGTACGATCGGCGCCGTTTTTCTTTGTTTTCCCTTCTTTGTTCCTTGATTGTTACTTCTTCTTCAATAAAGAAGGAAGCACGATCCATTTTCTTTGTTCCTTGAGCAATTTTGTTTTGGAAGCAAGGAATTATTGTGTTTGGCAGTGAGCACTGCACCGATTTTGTTGCTGTTAGTTTTCTTTGGAATGGCGACTACCACCAAGAAAACTCGTCTAATTCATGATTCATCGTCTGAATATTATCTCCACCCGTCTGAGGGTCCAGGTAATACTCTGACAAAACATGTGTTAAAGGGAGATAATTTTGATACTTGGGAGAAAACTATTTTCAATACTTTGAAGGGACGCAGTAAGGCGGGTTTTTTTGTCTCCTACTGGAATGCCTAAACCTACTGATCCTGCGGAACTAGAGGCATGGGAGGCGAACAACTCCACGATATGCAGTTGGATTTTTAATAGTGTGGATGAAATAATACAACCTAGTATTGCTTCTCATAATATTGTTCATGAATTGTGGTCTGATTTGAAAGCTCGGTATAGTACTATAAACGAGCCCCGAATTTATCAATTGGAGAATGAGTTGCAGAATCTGAGACAAAAGGGTCAAACTGTGGTGGTATACTACAATCAATTTGTCACTCTATGGAACAAATTATATGGCGTGGAAGACCCGACGTGCGGCTGTACATGCGCGGCTGCCACCACCCTCCGTTCTAATGCAGAGAAAGCAAAGACACGTAAATTTTTGTTGGGTTTGGATGACGAACAGTTTGGCACTATTCGAGGGAAAATTTTGGGTACTCAACCTCTTGCTGATTTAAACCGAGCATTTTATTTGGTGACCGAGGAAGAGCGTCACCGAAGCGTGGTACGTGCGCGGGATGACCGTACTGATGCGATGGCCTTAGCCACCCCACGCACTACTCTAATACGTATCAGTGCACTCATTGCGGGAAACAAGGCCATACAGCGGATAGGTGCTATTTAATCATTGGTTTTCCACCTTCCGGTCGAGGACGAGGCAAGATCTCTACACAACAAGGGGGAGGTCGTGGACATCGCGGTGGCCGAACCGCGGGATAGCCGTTGCCCTCCACTGCCGGACAGACTGCCGGGTAGTCTCTACCCACGGCTAATGCAGCGGCGGATGTCCCTAGCTCCTTCCCTTTCCGCCATGTCTCCTGATCAAGTTGCAGGCTATTTTCGATGATTGACTCTGCACCGTCTCCTTTAGATAAACTCCAAGGTATGTCCTTCAGCGTGCCTTGTGAATGGCTTGTGGATAGCGGTGCCTCTTATCACATGACAGGTTTATTGCATTGTTTGATTGATGTTGTACAACGGCCTCCTTGCACTATAAGTTTGCCCGATGGAACTCACGTGGTGGCAAATTCTTGTGGCCGTGTACAAGTGTCCTCTTCCTTGATCTTGCATAATGTTTTATATGTTCCCAATTTGAAGTGTAATTTGATATCTGTGAGTTGTCTTGTCAATTCACATAACTGTCATGTTTTCTTTGATGATCATTTTTGTGTGATACAGGACCGAACTACGAAGACTCGGATTGGACAATCTGAAGCATGCAACGGAGTCTATGTTCTTTCTTCCCAAGCCCGAGCGTCTAAAGCCGAGTCCGTTCCCTTGTTACACAAGCGTCTTGGCCACCCATCTCCACAAGTTTTGTCTCTTCCTCCATTTAATAAGAGCCATGCTGAAATTAAAAATTTTCAGTCATGTGACATTTGTTTCTTTTCCAAACAGACTCGTTCTAAATTTTCTCCTAGTCTTAATAAAGCTGAGAACTTGTTTGATTTGATTCATTGTGATTTATGGGGGTCCTTGTGCAAACTTCCTGTGTGAATACACCCCAACAAAATGACCGAGTCGAGCGCAAACATCGTCACATCCTTAATGTCGCTTGCTCTCTAATGTTTCAGGCCTCTTTACCTCTTGAATTTTGTGGTGAATGTGTTCACACCGCCGTCTATCTTATCAATCGTACTCCCACTCCATTGTTACAGGGAAAATCTCCATATGAACTCATTTCTTCAAAGCCTCCAGACTTGTCTCATCTCCGGGTTTTTGGGTGTTTGTGTTTTGTTCGCCATGTTCAGCGACCACCAAATAAATTTTTCCCGAAGAGTGTCAGATGTATGTTTGTGGGATATCCTACGGGTACCAAAGGTTGGCGGGTCTATGATCTTGAGTCTCATCGTTTCTTTCATACCCGTGATATTTCCTTCGACGAGTCCATTTTCCCGTTTTCCACTTCTAAAGATTCCGCCACCCCAGCTACCACCTCCCTTCCTGTACATGCAGACTTCCCCACCCACCCTACTGCCGCCGGAAATGCACCCCAGCCCACTGCCGCCGACAACCTCCAACCCACTGCCTCCTCCTCCGGCAGTGAGTCCCACGACAGCGAGGAAACCAGCGGCAGCGAGGAGTCCACTGATCCAAACAGCCCGGTCACTTCTTTGTCCCCCAAAATCTCCCCACCCCCACTCACAGGTCGTATTCGACGTCCCCCTGCCTACCTTTTCGACTACTATTGTCATACCGCCCAGACATTGACTCTTGTTGCTCCTTCTATTGGTCATTCCCGGTCTTCAGGTACTCGGTATCCTATCCATAATTTTGTTCATTATGAGAAATTACATGACAGGTACCGTGGATATCTAGCCGTCGTCTCCTCACACGAAGTCTCCAAGACGTTTAAGCAAGCCATGCAGCATGCGAACTGGCGGCTAGCTATGCAACAGGAAATTGGTGCCTTGGAGAATAATCATACTTGGGACATCACAGATCTCCCTCCAGATCGGACAGCGTTGGGTTGTCAATGGGTCTTTCGCACTAAGTTTCGGTCTGATGGTACCAAGGAGCGTGATAAGGCACGCCTAGTGGTCTTGGGTAATCACCAAGAATTTGGTACAGACTATACTGATACATTTGCTCCTGTTGCTAAAATGGGGACGGTACGCATTTTATTATCTGTTGCTATGGCTAAACAATGGGAGGTTCATCAGTTGGATGTTAATAATGCATTTTTAAATGGGGATTTAATTGAGGAAGTTTATATGCGATTGCCACCCGGATATTCTATTTCCGGTAAAGTGTGTCGTCTCCGTAAATCTTTGTATGGGTTGCGGCAATCTCCAAGAAATTGGTTTCACAAGCTTAGCTCTGCTCTTCGTGTTTGGGGCTTTAAACAGGCTCATAAAGACCACACTCTATTTATTTTGCACCGTGACAATGATATTCTCACAGTTTTGGTGTATGTTGATGATATCTTGGTTGCAGGTAATAATCCGTCTATGTGTGCCTCCTTCAAACGGTATCTAGACCGTTGTTTTCAACTCAAAGATTTGGGCCCAGTTAAATATTTCTTGGGCATTGAATGTGCCCGATCTCCTGCTGGTATGGTTCTCTGTCAACGCAAATATGCACTGGAAATTTTAGAGGAGGCTGGCCTATTGGGATGCAAACCGGCGGGGACACCACTGCCGACGGCGCATGGTCTCGCCACTTCGGCGGCGCCTCTCCTCCACGATTCAGCGCGCTACCGTCGTTTGGTCGGCCGCTTGATTTACCTCACCATCACCCGTCCTGATCTTTGTTACTCTGTTCATGTGTTATCTCAGTTTATGCAGGCACCTACTCTTGATCATATGAATGCCGCTATGCATGGCCTACGTTATCTCAAAGGTCACCCTGGTCAAGGTATCTTCCTTAGCGCCACAAGTAATCTTCAAATTACCGCTTACTGTGACTCTGATTGGGCAAGTTGCCCACTCTCCCGGCGGTCGGTTAGCGGGTATTTCATTATGCTTGGTAATTCTCCTGTGTCTAGGAAGACTAAGAAACAGATCACTGTGGCGAGATCATCTGCGGAAGCCGAATACAGAGCCATGGCCAATGCATGCGTGGAGATACGTTGGATGCACGGTATTCTTGGCGCATTAGGCGTCCCCATTTTATATCCTCCACGGTTGTATTGCGACAATCAATCAGCCTTATACATTGCAGCAAATCCAATGTTCCACGAACGTATGAAGCATATTGATGTTGACTGTCATACGGTTCGCGAATCTGTTCAGCAGCGTGAGGTGTCTACACGATATGTTCCTACACGCTATCAGTTAGCAGATATTTTTACTAAACCCCTATCAAAACCAGTATTTGATTTTTTATTGTGCAAGTTGGGCATCTAGGATCTTCATGCGCCAACTTGAGGGGGAGTGTTAGCGGGTATTTGTAATTGGGTCGTAAATATTGTTATCGGGCCTGTACATTTAAGCCCATCGTGTACTTGTATATATATCGGTTTGTGAATAATGAAACACAGAACAGTTTTCGCTAAATTTCAACAGCGTCAAAAGGCGATTGGCGCTGGGGGCATCAGCCCCATTCCCATTGCTCTTAGTCATGGTTACCTAATTTAGTTTTGTACTTTGTATTTCATATTTGGCCATGCATTGTCTCGTGAATTGAAAAACATTACTGTTACAACTAATTGGAATATTAACTGGTCCGATTCAAAGTTTTAAATAATTAGGACTATTCAAAACACACAATTAGAAGATAGAGTGCTTCTTTGGTGTATTTAAGATCCAAAAAAACTGTGAACCTTCTAATATAAAAAATAGTTTTTAAATTTTTATCACCTTTTTTTCTCAAACTTTAAACATAGTTTTTTTAAATATGTAAATTTTATCAATTATTTATACTAATTTTTAAATACATTTATTTTTAAAAAAATGAGATTTTACCTCGTAAATGTGTAATTGAAATCTTACATAGTTCTTGACGCCTTACTCCCCACATCATTATCTCTCATTTACCCTCTCTTAAGGCCCTACTATTGTGGGATCCAACTGGGTTGTTGTTGTTGTTGTTGTACCCTCTCTTAAGGGTGGGCACAACCTGTAATACTACCAGAACCTATCATGGACCGCTTTTACTCAAACGGTTCGATATCATTATAGGATGAATTCTAAAACCATTCGGTATCATTCCATTTTAAACCCCGACGGTATAATATGATACTCATTCTTAAATCGTGCCAAAAAATTAAACATGCATAACTCAAGTAATGCTCCCTCTATTTTTAAAAACATTTCTTATTTGGTTTTTGCTCCCTACATAAAAAATTGAGAAATTTACTTAAATAGCAATAAAACATAATGACTTTCCCTAAATAGCACCACATGTGTTTTTCTTCCCTATGTAGTACTTTTAGTCATTATGTATTAGTCATTATTCAAGTAAATATTCGTCATCACAGGACATTATGGACATTATTAAATGCTATTTGGGGAATAAAACAATTTAAAGTTTTAGTCCTATTTAGTGCAAATATTTCTAAAGAATTCTATAAAACATGTAGTGATAAGAATATTTTATTGTAACGCCCCAAAACATACCCTAAAATTTTTAATAAATAATTATTTGATTAATCAAATTTGTTTTGATTAAAATAAATTGTTGTTGGGCTTTGGGCCAAAATAAAATATGTATTGATATCCAATAAATATAAATATTGTGTTTATGTGTGACCTTATTGTGTGACCTTGATTGGACTTGAGTACAGACCCAAAATCTAATATGTTGACTTATTGTGTGACCTTGATTGGACCTGAGTACAGACCCAAAATCAAGAATAAATGAATAATGTGTTTATGATGTAAACTTTGAAATGGTCTATTGAAATAAATCATGAGAATAAATAATATGAACTTGGTATGAGCACCTTTTTGAGTAAAGGTCAAACAAATCAATTTTGACTCTGTCAAAGTCAAACACCAAAAATATGATGTCGGAAAACGTATAACGAATAAATATAAAAATTATATCGTTGTGTAGAGTTTGACTGTTTGATTCCAACGGTGCACATGGAATTCAATTTGGAGAAAGTTGGACCAAAAAGTGTATCCCAACTAGGACTGAAATTAGTCCTAATCAGGGACTACACTCCAATCGGCGCTTACTGTGTGAACGGCGCACTAGCCGATTCTGAAAAATCACCGTAACTTCATCAAGTGCATGTCTTCTTCCTCTTTATACCATTATATAAGGAAACCTATCTTCCTCATTTCTTCACCAAAATACTCCATATTTCTCTCTATCCTACTACTCTGAGTGAGGAGAACACTTTGGTGTTGCCAATTCAGTGAGAGGTCGCCGGAGTTGAGAGCTTTTGTCACTGGAAGTTTCACCGTCTTTTCACTAGAATCATCGTTTAGCATTAAGGTAAGCCCGTAGATATATCTAATGACTAAAATGCTCATATAGGTCATTTTTACTTTCATAAATGGTCATTTGGTTGAGTTTTGTGTTTGACATATTTAAAGAACTAAGAATCATAAACCTTGAATTTGATGTTAAAAATACGAACTAATGTTACCAAAATGATCTATGAACATTGGAAAACATTTTTATATAGTTTAATTGAAGTTTGGGGACTAAGAATATTGTGTTCAACATTCTGAAGGAGCTGGAAGACATAGAAGGGAACTATATATGGAAGCGCGGTCTAACATGTTCGAGAAGCCATTTGCAGCGGATAAGGTTTTTTTATTAAAGAGCTGGTGTATACAAAAATGAAAGAAGACATTTTAGTTACCGAGCATATTAAGAAGTTGAATTCAAACTTATCCGATCCAGACCTGCATCAGTACGAATTAGGTTCAATGATGAAGTTCAAGCCTTGCTAGTGCTATCATCTTTGTCTGGTCTGGAGTGACCGTCTCAGTTCAGAAGAAGGTTTCCTATACAAGAGAGAAACCCAGAGCCACATGTCAGACTTGGGATGAACGAGCGATGAAAGGTTTAGGGAGACCAATCAGAGGAGCTTGTGGTAGCTAGTGGGACTGTGGAAGCATGGGTCGTGTTTCAGCCAAGGTTCCTAGACGATAGTGGGTCTGGAGAACCATTGTTCCAGCTGATGATACACCTCTAGAAAATTTCTTCCTGAGTATGGAGAGTGTTTGTTCTTAGGGCATTCCAAGATCCGACAACGCATGTCTATAGTGGGAGCCGGTAGGGACCGAGGACAAGTCAGGGGCAGCTTTAGCCATGACTGATGTGTTGGAGCTCTAGGGAGCTTCAATGACCCTTTCAGTCATCTAAAGAGAGGGCCGTTGCAGCAGGTAGTGATGGCAACGTATCGAGTTTGGGTCGGATAGTACTATACCCGAACCTGGCCTGACTTTTAAAACCAAAACACGATCCCGACTCGAAATCCGAATTTTAAACCAAAAACATGACTTTTGAACCAAAAACCCGACCCGAACCCGACATTTAAACCCAAAATCTAAAGCCGAATCCGAACCCAAACCTGAATCTGTAATTTAATCAATAACCGATTCGACGTACCCCAAGAATTTTAAAAGGAATGAATCTAAATTCTTTTGTCTCTCTTTTTTATCTCATTTTTTTATTGGAGAATTACAAAAATAATTATAAATTAAAAGGCATGCTTGGTATGGTACCACCTTGTCAAGACGTTTGTGTGGCTAGAAATGCGAACAAGACAGTAGACACATCAGAGATGCAAATAATGAAGAACCATACAAGAATGGGAAACACAGAGAGATGTGATATAAGGACCAAGAGAGAGATGCGGTTGCACCAGAGAGTTGAAAAAAAGAGATCATACAGAGTGCTCATTATATTCGTAGATAGGGTTTTAGGTTATAAAAATTTGGGTTCAGACCAGGTTTGGGTCGGGTAAAGTTATAAACCCACACCTGACCCGATCCGATGTCGGGTTCGGATAAAAAATTTCGGGTCGGGTTTGGATTATTTTATTCTCGGTTCGGGTTTGGATATTTTAGTGTTCGGTCGGGTCGGTTAAGATAGGGTTCGGGTTGAATTGCCATCCCCGGGAGAGCTGAGAAAGATTACTAGATGTATGAGCTTTTGTAACGGATGACAGTTGATGATTATCAAGCCTCCAAGTGGGAGATTTTTGGGCTTGTGGAGACTAGATTTGTTCGGGCCTGACCAGGGTTGGCCTGTCTTATTTGTTAGCCTTTTTCTATTTTTTGGTCAACAAGTTTTGTAGTCTTGAGTTTCTCCCTATATATTGAGTCTGTGTACTTGTAGCCTTTGGCACCACAAGTGAATAAACTTTCTCTTGTTGCAGTCGTGGATAGGGGTGTAAACGAACCGAATCGAAGCGAATACCGATATATTTGAATTTGTATTTGTTTAATTTTTTCGAATACGAATACGAATCCGAATATGAGACGAATTCAAAATAAGATTTGAATATGTATTTGATTAATATTCGAATAGTTATCGAATCATAAACGAATATTTGAATAATCATACTATGTAATTTATATGATAGACCAACATCGATTTGTAATTTAAGTTACGATATTATTTATACTATACTATATTCCGTATATAAAAACATTAATAAATTTGCATCTTACACAAATTATATTTTATAAAATATAACTATTAAAAATCATATGTTTTAGATTTTTGTGTTACATTAATTTATTGAATTCTTAGTTCCTTAAATACACTTTATACTATATTATTTGCTTGACTTTTGATGTTGAAAATATGGTCTGTGTATATATACATATATTCGAATATTCGAATATCATCCGAATCGAATATATCCATATTTGTATTTGTATTTGATTAATATTCAAATCAAAAATAGTATTTGAATTTGAATTTGTATTTGAATAACGCGAATTCGAATCATTATATTCGAATACGAATCGCGAATCAAATTTAAAATATTTGATTTGTTTACATCCCTAGTCGTGGATTAAGAAAACAAAACCACGTTAAAATTCTTGTTTGTCGGTTGTGTCCTGCCTCTCTCGATTCTTGCAGATATTCGTGTGTTGTGTGTTTATAATTAGTTCCCAAGAGTACGTGTATACCGTTAGGTGTTACCCCTGCTGGTTCTTCCTCCGTCGTTACGTTTAGTTACACATAGCCCAACCCACCGCCCAACCCTAGCTCCTTGCCTCCCATCATATCTTGCTTATTAGCATAATTAATTCTAGTTCCTGTATATTATTCTTGATTGTAAACATCATATGTCAATGTTGTGGTTCAACTCTGGACTTAATGGTTCATCCGTTTTAATTAAATAAAATTGTATTTTCTTCAAAATAAAAACTACACCACTATATAGCACTAAAAAAACTATACCAAAAATTATACTCCTGATTCAGAAATCTTTTCATCTTTTGACCTTTTTTAGTAAAAAAAAACATCTTTTTACCACAAATTAAACACAACCTAAATAATTAATATTATAAAAGTTTGATATATCAAAATTATAATCTAAGATGAGCCTAATTATATTGCATTTATATTATAATTGAATATAGTTGAATATAGTTTAATGACCAACGAGTGTCATTGTTTGACAAAAACTTAAAACAGGAAGAGTTTTTAAGAACGGATGAAGTAAATCACACGTAATAATTTAATTACTTTTTTATGAAATGATCCATTAAAATATGCATAACAATATATACGGAGTATATATTTTGACGTTTTTAAATGAGAAAACTAAATAAAGAGATAGTCGACTATGACAAATCGAAAGTTCTNTTGGATGGGAGCATGGGGTTCATACAACATGCAATATGCATGGGAGCAGTCCCGCCCTTACGTGCGGCCAGAGAGATATTAGTTGTGTAATGTAATATATTCATCCGTCCCAATTTAAATCGCCTGTTTCGATTAATAGTATTTAATTGAAGTTATTTTTAAATTATTATATATGAAAAATGGTATATTTTTAAAAAGTAAAAATTACACATTTAAAAATTATACAAAAAGGTCTATAAAACTAGTGATGACATGACTAACAAAAATAAGAAACCAAAGTGAATTAAGTTTGACCACGTGAATATGAAACATGCAATTTAATTTGGGGCGGAGGGAGTACGTCTCTAACATAAAACTTTAATTGATTAAAGTTAGTAAAATATATTCTCTCTGTCCTAAAATTAATTTCTCAATTTGAAATTCGTGGTTAAATTGTTTGAACTTTGACTGCATATATATTACAAGAAAATTGAATTTTAATATAAATTTAATATCCATTAAATTTTGAAATATAGTTCTGAAATATTTTATTTTTGTAATATATAATTATATAAAAGTAAAGATATTAATGATCAAAATATTGTATTGGAGACCGTGAAAAGTCAAGACGGAGTAACGAATAAATGTGTTTATATATATAGTACTCCGTAATATGTTTAATGGGTTTGTAATTAAATATATACACAACTACTACTATATAATAATAACAAAAGTAGTTAATTACGAGTATATATAATATATATGCATGAAGATGATGGAGTTGTTGGGCCTGTTATTATTGGTGGTGTTAAAAAGTGGTGGATCGGCGGTGGCCGCCGGCGGAAATGGCGCCGGCGATGTCCCGTTTGATGAGAACTATTCCGTTGAATGGGGGAACGATCATGTCACGTCCTTCAACCAAGGACGACGAGTTCAACTTTCATTGGATAAAAACTCTGGTCTATTCTTTTTCTATTTTTTTCCCCTCATTTTGTTCTCTTTCAATTCAATTTTCAATTTAATTTAGGGAAACTTACTTATATACTACCTACGTCCCGCTATATTCGTCCACTTTTGACTTTTGGAATTGTTCATCTAAGCACTTTGACTCATTAAATTCTCTCAATGTGTAAGCATAAATATAGTCATGTGTGATCTTGTTTGATTTGTCTTAACATATAGATTATTAATATATAATTTCTAAATATACAAATTACAAGATAAAATGGATTTAAGAAGTGTATTAGATGGTGTGTAAAAATGAAAGTAGACAAATACTCTGGGACAGAGAGAGTAGTACGGAGTACTAAAATATTGTGAGTTTTCCAATGTAGTATTATATTCTCTCTGTCACAAAAAATCGTTCTCTTTTTTTTCTTGTCCCACAAACTCCTCTTCTTTACTACTCCTATACCTTTTACTAATAATTTGTCCATTATATTCTAATTTTACTCATCACATCAAAAGTTTTTTTTGGAAAGTTAAAACAAAAATGTCTCTCTTGAAATTCCTAAAAGTCAAAATATGAACATCTTTATGTGATGAAGGAAGTATGTTTTAATTTCTAATATAGTATGGCTACTGGACATTGTTTCCGCCATTGGATATTGTTTAAGTACTATTTAGAGAATAATAAAAAGTTTTAGCTACTACATTTTTGAAAAAAAACATATTTTTAAATACCCCATCGGATTCTAAAACCTTTCATGTTTTGATTTTTTTGGTCAAATAATATCATTTTTTGACCACAAATTGTCTGAAAAGTATATTTAACTATGATGTAAATTCGATAAAATTGGGTTCATCTTAGGATATAATTTTGATATATCAATTTTTATATCATTTATTTATCATATTTAATTTGTAGTCATAATGTGTCACTATTTGACCCAAAAAATCAAAATATGAAATGTTTTTTGGACCAGAGGGAGTATTATTATTTAGTGTAAGTTTCACTTCAATTTATTACTACAAGTAACTCTCTCTTGTTTCAATACTTTATTTGTCCATCAATACCTATATTTATATAAACTCCGTAAATACTAAAGTACATATTATAAAAATACGATATTTCAAAAATAGCAAATTTTGATCCTACATGATGAACTTTCAGGTGAGCTAAATAATATATATTTTCTTACTATAGTATTGATCGAGGTTAACATTTAAAAAAATACGGAGTATATGAAAAGATCTATGATAAAGCTTCTCTTCAAAAGGGCATTTCAAAATGAATATATAGAGTAATGAATATATAGAGTATAATGATCGTTTATGTTACTTTCTCTTGTCTCAAAATAAAATATGCATTTTCCATTTCAAGAGTTATCATAAGAAATGCATACTTTCAATCCTTGTTTTCCCAATAAGGAAAAGAACATATGGTACAAACTTTCATCTCTAAATAAAAATCTAATCATATAAATGCAGAGGACTTTTAAATTTTTAACAATATTTTTAAGTTTCGTAAATTCAAATCTGAGTACTCACTTAGATTTCAACATTTTCATAATTAAATTTCGTGAAACCAAATCCTAATTTTCTACATTTTCTTAAATTTCGTAAAATCAAGTCATAAACTTTATTTTAAGATGAAGAAAGGCATTTTTTGCATATTATAATCAAAATGTATCAAAATTGACAAAAAAATAGATTGAGAATTGAACTGCGTGATATTGAGAGAGTGGGTGGTAATAATTCTTAAAGATTGCCATTGAAGTGTACTATTACTAATCAAAGTGAAAGTTAACTAACTAGGTGCAGAAAGATTGTAGGTTAAAGTCCTCATTTTTAATTTCATAAAAAAATTTGTTTTTTTGTTGTTTCAGAACAAATTATTTTGTTTTTCTCTTGAAGAAACCTCGCTCAAAAAGCATTGCAAAAAATGTCAAACAACCAATGCGATTGCCTCTTTTTGCAGTAGTGTCAACTTCAAACCAATCTTCACAAACAGCTAGGATCGACTCTTATTTTATGGATTAAGCAATTAAATTTGATAATTTAATGACTTGAAAAATTAAATACTCGGTAATGATTTATAGGAGCACGGTTTGGGTCGAAGTCAATGTATGGATCAGGGTTTTTCGAGATGAAAATAAAGGTTCCGCACCAAGACTCTGCTGGAGTTGTCACTGCCTTTTACGTACGTATTTAAGCTTAATTATTACTTACTAATTTGCATAAATTGAGTCCTTCAAAAAAAAATTTGTATAAATTGAGAGAGTATATACTTGTCTGGACTTATTAAATTTGATTTGAAAGTTTCTGATCTGGCAATTTTAACAATAAAAATAAGGCTCCGTTTGGTACACGAAATTCAAACTATGAAATTGGAATGGAAGACAATAATTCCAATTCTGCTGTTTGATATCACAAAAATATTGGCAATGCCAAAAATGAATTGGAATTGGAGAATTCAATTCCATCCAACTCAATTCCATACAATTTAAAATTCCAATTCAATTCTAGTTCTGTCAATTCCGTGTACCAAACGGACCCTAATAGAGTTTTGGTGCAGCTAATATCCAATAAGCAAAACGGTCACGACGAGCTGGATTTCGAGTTCTTGGGCAACCGCAAAGGCAAACCGATTACCCTGCAGACTAACATCTTTACAGAGGGCGTAGGGAACAGAGAGCAAAGAATTGCTCTCAACTGGTTCGACCCCTCTGCAGATTTCCACACTTACCAAATCCTTTGGAACCAACACCAAATTGTGTGAGTAAAATATGCACTTACTATTTTGAAAAAACGAATCAAAAACTCAAGCCTGTGGTGTGGGTTAATGAAATATTGCAGATTTTACGTGGACGATACGCCAATAAGAGTGTTCAAGAACAAGGCAAAGGCAGGGGTGGGATACCCTGCGTCCCACCCCATGCAAATAGAGTGCAGCTTGTGGAATGGAGAGAGCTGGGCAACGGATGGGGGCAGGTCAAAGATTGACTGGTCACGCGCACCTTTCAGAGCAGAGTTCCAGGGATTCGCGGTGGATGGGTGTGCAGCAGATCCGAGCTCCTCCTCCTCCAAATCCAATAGTAGTAGCATTGCCCACTGCTCTTCGCCGGATTACTGGTGGAACCAGAACCGGTTCTGGACACTGAATGAGACTGAGCAAATAAGATACACCAAAGTGAGGCAGACATACATGAACTATGATTACTGTGCAGATCTGTCAAGGTTTCCTACCCCTCCCCCAGAATGCCTTTAAGGAAATACCTTGTTGATCTTGCATGGACTGTATTTCAAATAGATGATTTAAAATGCTTGGGATCATATTACTCTGTTTATGTTCAATAATTACTACCTATTTTTATTGAAGAGCCAACATAAACATGTATTTAGATTAAAAGTAAATTTGATTTTAGAAACATTTTGTTTAGCAAGTACAAGAACATTTTATTAAAAAAATTAATGTATTACCCCTAGTATTATTCAGACTTGTTATTCATTGCCAAGTTCTTCTCTCCAGCAGCAGCTTTATTGAATATCAAATTAAGCTGATCCGCAAACAGCTGATTCTGCAGTTGTTGCAACTGATGTGTCTCCTTTTCTGTTTGTAGCTCAATCTCCTCAAAGTGAACTAGCTTTTCTTCTATCTCTTTCATCTGCAAGCATTGTAGAAGTCACACTCTTTTTTAGTGTAAATATTCGTAAAATAAATTTTAGCTGAAACAGGGGATTGGGTCTAATATTCTAATAATGCATTCAGAATATAATCTTCAATGAATTTAAGGAAATACAAATATCTAAAAAAGAAGAGTATGAGAGCAGTTTATCTCTGCCTTAGCCGTTTCAATTCAAAAGTAACACAATACTTTTATAATCATCCGTGAATACATTGCTTATGCAGACGAATAGGATAGTAAGATGGTAAGGAGTAGTTGGTCATTTGTAATCGGAAAGACAAGTTGTGCGTCAAATGCCCCTTTATGTTATTAAACAACAAATACTTTGACTCAAATGTCTCTGAAAAGTGACTTGAGTATTTGGAGGGTGTGTACCAGAACAGCAACAAGGGAGATCGCACTCTCTAAATCGTGTTCTTCTCTATCGAGTTGCATTTGTGCTTCAGCAAGGGCTCCTTCAATCATATCTACAGATTGGTCATTCTGTGCATTCTGAGAATCTGCGTCCAATATTAGGAAACAGCAATCACCGTCTAAAGGAGAAGAAATTACGCAACAACCACATTTATGTAGTGCACATAGCAAAAAGTATTTCGAACATAATATGCAATTTTACTTCCACCACAATTCCAGTCATCAGTAACAATAACCTAGTAAATCCTTAAAAAAGTAGTGTGGGGAAGGGTGTGTACACAGTACTTACCAACAATTAGGGCTTGTTCCTTTTTGTTGGAATTCTAAAGTTGGATGTTAGAAAAGGGAAGAAAGTGAGTAAAATCCCCCAATAGAACAAACACTTAAAAGTAAGTAAAATCCCCCAACGCAAGTCATATGAGTAAAAGGGAAGAAAATATGCAACAACCACAGTATTCAATGAGCACTTTCAAAAGTATTTCGAACAGATAATGCAACTTAATTTCCACTTTAACGCCAACAAAATTATGATTTAAAACAGTATTATGCCACCATAAATGCTTGATTTATAGCTTTAGGCCACAAAGGGAAAACAAGACTCTTGATGTTTTTAAAGAGTACTTGTCCACTTCCAACATCCTACATTCCAGCCTATTTGATGTTTTTCAAGAGGATAGCAAGGGCAATAACTGAATAAATGACTGAATCAATAGAATAGAAAAATACATCCAAGTGAGAACACATGCCTTGGTTATCTTCACTAGCAGATAAAGATTCAAGATGTCTCTTGATTTTTTCCATTCCAAACTCAGATAAAGATTTTAGAGCAGCATGAGTTGCAACTTCCACAACCTCTGTTCCTGCCAAAGCTGAGAGGAAAGCTGCCTGTGTGATTTTTTTCAAAACAAAGAATCAGATGTTGTTTTGCCCAAGTCTTCAATACCTATTGTAGATGTGGGCAGCTTGAAAAAGAAATACAAGCCTCAATTCAATTGATCATATGAACGGTAGAGGAACAGCTGTTCAAAGGCCTAGTTACTAACATGTATTAACAACTTAGAGAAAGTAAGTACCTGAGCCATGATAGGGTTACTAGCATCAGCAAGAGGTGTTAGTTTCGTCCTTTTGGAAGGAATCTGTTCATAGTCCATTTCAGCAGATTCTGGAGGCCCAACAAACTGCTCACCGAAAGGAAGTTTGATAAAGCGTGACACACACTCTTTCTCACTCCTGCCACCCACATGCCCAGCCACCTTCTTCCAGTCATCCCCAAAATGCGTGACAGCTTCAAGTAGGAGCAACGTCTCCTTTTCGCTCCAATCCGTCTTTGTCTCTTCATTGAGATCCACTTTTCTAAAATCTGAAGAACTTAGGCCCACCCTGTAATTACCTCGTACGTAGCATTTCGCACAGAGAACCATATCATACTGCACCATAAATGAACAACCACATAAGGTGCATAAGCTTCACACAATTGAAAGATGCCAAGTTATACATAACAATCATAAGCTATAGCTGATGAACAGTCTGCTGTAACCTACAAATTCAAACTTGATGGGTGAGTTCGTTTTACCTTATCACAAAGAAAACATGAAATGCTGCAAAGGGTCTTGCAGCCACTGCACAATCTCTTCTTTAGGGCTTGAATATCCACGGAAGTTGCATTGGCTTCGCTGCTCTGGAAAGAAGCCCGAGATGCTTCTTTGTCTTCCCATTTAAGCTGAGTCTTGCTAGAAGTCGAGCCGGAGTAATTGATCAAACCCCATGTCTCTAGGAAATCAAAAACCCTTCGGATCGAACCCACATCCCCAACTAGAGTCTTTCGAACCTCAGTAAAGCTGATTTTTCTGGTTGGGTTTTCTCTAAATCGGCGAATTATGGTGTTCCGGTAGTATTTGTAAACCCTAGGGTTTTTGGAAGCGGATCCTCCATCGAAGAATTCTGGGAGTAACCGGATTTCTCCCTCGTGAATGCTATTCCATGAAAACCACCCTGCGAGAGGGGGGTGGGTTTCAAAGAGCATACATACAGATGAATCAATAAGTTTTAAAAAGGAAAGAGATAAGCAAACTTACTGGAGTAGCTGGGTACGTTGATGACATCAGTTTCCGGCAGGTGAGAGGTGATAATGGCGGTAGGAGTGCCGGGGGTGATTGAGCGGATGGGTGCGGGGGTGGATGGAATTGGGGAGGACTCCGGACGCGTTAGCGGTGGATGTGGCGGTGTCTCTTGTTGTGGCTGCGGAGGCGGTGGCGGCGGCTGAGATGTGAGATCCGGGTCGGCCACTTTGATGGTGGTGTCGCCTGTGGCCATTCTTTCTGACTATTCGGAGGCGCCTCTAAATTTTAAGTAGACTTCAAATTTGGACCCAAAACTTTTGCTTAACATTTAGACATCCTTTTTCTATTTGTTTTTAACGATTTCCAATATACGGAGTAATATTTTATTTATTAATATCTTTATTTATACATAAATATAGATTACAAAAATATGATATTTTGAAACTACATTGCAAAATGAATTTGAAAAACAAATCAGAGTGTTAAAGAGAAGAGTTATTAATTCTTAAAATTAACCACATGAAACTTATAAAAAAACTATTAATCTTGTCACTATGTTCAATCAATAAAAAATTAAAAAATAAAAAAATGTCTAATCATTACACTGTATATTGATAAAAATTACCAACTCATTAAAGAAATAAATAGGTAGCCGATCAATTGTTAAAAAATACCCAATACACTTGTCATATGCCAAAATTATGTGAGCTAGAATCTCAAATATTATAGTAAAGGAAGGATAAGCCAATAAGGGCATGTTTGGGAATAACATTGGACATTAGCGTTAACGCTTTAGATAAAATTTCAATGGTGTATATTACTTTGAAAATGCTAACGCTAACGCTGCTCGTAGATAGTCTTTTTCAAAACGTTAATGCTTATGCCTAACATTATTCCCAAACAGGCCCTAAGTCTATTACCAAATCAATTGACATTTATTTATAATCACACATTAATAACCTTCTAATTATAATTACTTTTACATGTACTCCATAATGATTTTTCATATGTGCGCTACAATTGATAATGAATATATGCTTCAATAGGATCTTTCCATATTTTAATTTGAAATTACCAATTCATAAAGTCTTCAAAGGTGGTAGACGATTTGTAAAAAAATTGCCAAGTAAACCTGCCACGTGTTGAATTTATGGAAGTTCAATTTTCAAATAGTTTGTTTTGACCAATTTTTTAGCATAGAAAAACAACTATGCGCCAACAACTTTCCTCTTTCTGATTTTTGGCCTCTATTTTTTTTTGGTACATTGACCTCTAAAATTTGAGTCAACACTTTTTTATATTTTCTTTTCCAAAAAATAAATTTGTAAACAACTTTAAAATCTGTAAACAACTTTGATTTCTTCTCTTTCAAATATATTGCAATGAAACATTTTTCACTGTTCAAAAGGAGGTTATGGGGGCTTTTCCTTCGGTGCCATTTGTAAACTGAGGGTTTTGGTGCCCTCAATACATGGATCAATGAATGGATGACACGTGTAGCAGCCTATTCCACATAATTTTATACGGAGTATATTTTTGTTTATTACAATCAGCCCATCTAAAATTCAATTATTATTTCTTTGGATCTATCGTTTCTCCCATCTTCCGTTAACTTCTACGCCGTCTCCAACATATCTTCGTTTCTGCATCGCCGTCTCCCTCCAACATCCTCTCCATCTCCAGCGTTCTCTTTGCCGGAATTAGAAGCCGCCCTCTGCCGACCTTCCTCTGTCGTCCCTAGGTCGGATCTCATCTCCAAAATTAGGAATCAATCTCCCAGGTTTTTTTCTTCTAATTTTCCATTAGCCCTAGATTGGTGCTCCTCTCTTTACGTCCTGCCTTTATTTTTCAGGTTTTATTCTATTTATTTTTTGGTGCGAAAATGCTATTCTTATGAGTCTACGAGTAATTGTGTTCCAAAGTGTAATTTTCTTGTTTTAAAAATGTCAATTTGTCATTTTGAGTTTGATTTGCAGCATGATTTAGTATAAAAAAGTATCTGTGATGTCATATGTTGTGCCCAAATATCTCTGTAATTTTTTTTTTGTTTTTTGTTAAATATTACTCTTGATTTTGGTTAAAAAGAACATACATGAGCAGTATAATGAAGGTTTATTGAGTTGTTAAATTTTTTGAGTTGTTAAATTTTTAGTTGTTAAAATTTAACAACTCAATAAACCTTCATTATACTGCTCATGTATGTTCTTTTTAACCAAAATCAAGAGTAATATTTAACAAAAAACAAAAAAAAAATTACAGAGATATTTGGGCACAACATATGACATCACAGATACTTTTTTATACTAAATCATGCTGCAAATCAAACTCAAAATGACAAATTGACATTTTTAAAACAAGAAAATTACACTTTGGAACACAATTACTCGTAGACTCATAAGAATAGCATTTTCGCACCAAAAAATAAATAGAATAAAACCTGAAAAATAAAGGCAGGACGTAAAGAGAGGAGCACCAATCTAGGGCTAATGGAAAATTAGAAGAAAAAAACCTGGGAGATTGATTCCTAATTTTGGAGATGAGATCCGACCTAGGGACGACAGAGGAAGGTCGGCAGAGGGCGGCTTCTGATTCCGGCAAAGAGAACGCTGGAGATGGAGAGGATGTTGGAGGGAGACGGCGATGCAGAAACGAAGATATGTTGGAGACGGCGTAGAAGTTAACGGAAGATGGGAGAAACGGTAGATCCAAAGAAATAATAATTGAATTTTAGATGGGCTGATTGTAATAAACAAAAATATACTCCGTATAAAATTATGTGGAATAGGCTGCTACACGTGTCATCCATTCATTGATCCATGTGTTGAGGGCACCAAAACCCTCAGTTTACAAATGGCACCGAAGGAAAAGCCGGTTCGGGTCCTTCTCTATATCTTACCGTCCAAATCCAAATGACTAATCCTCATTCGCTTTGAAGGCAAATAAGTTGGTTGAAGGACAATTGTGGCGTGTGAGGATTGAACCTAAGTTTTACTCCATTATATTTCACTTTGTAGTTTGTACCAATATGTTTCACTTTTTAAAATTTGGTCAAATCAAGATTTGGCCAAAAATTCTCTACACAACAATGGCTTTGTCAAATCCAGTCCACATCGGAGAAAGAAAAAAATAAACTGTGAATAAAGTAATGAAGAAAAGGAGATGTTGTCATACTTGTTATACAACGGTGAATTTGGTAGAGAAAACTCTAGCCAACAATCCATGAAATAGATCAACCATGATATGTGATATAGATTGTCGGCTAGAGTTTTTCCTACCACATAATCGTAAAGTAACATTTTTTTTATTCCGTTTCATCATTTTTTTAGTAACGACAAATAATAAATGTGAAAGAGAGTTAAATACCAGTTAATATTATGCCCTTTTTCTATCCAAAAATAGTACATTTAGCTTTGGATCTTGTACTCCATTTTTTTCATCCTCACTTTACCCCAACGCCGTTATGCCCTGTATGTTTTTCTAATTCTCAATTTACCCCAACGCCATTATGCCCCTGTATGCCACGTTGACTTTTTTCTTTCATTTAAATGCGTTTAGTTTTCCCCGTCAAATACAATGACTAGCGAGATATTATTAGCTATATGGGTGTGCACCGGTCCAAAATCGAATCGGATCGGTTCGGAACCGAAATGGACCGAAACCGAAATCTTCTATTTGCTAGGACCAAAGACCGGGCCTATTTGATACCGGTCCGGACCTAATTTTCCAGTCCGCTCCAGGTTTACCCTATTATGGACCAGATTGTAAACATAAATGACCTAATTTTCATTATAAAAAATTTATATCTAAATTGTATATGTGTGTGTGTGTGTGTATATATATATATATATATATATATATATATATATATATATATATATATATATGGGGTTGACTCCAGTAAGATGATATGTTCTGGTCAAATGGCATGCTTCAGAATGAGCACTAGCTTGTTTAAGAATGAGCACTATGTTGTTTCAGAATGAACACTTTGCTGAGCAAACAGGGAATGAGTACTATGTTATTTTAGAATGAGAACTAAGTCTATAATGAGCAAATGTGTGAGAATGAATCCTACATGGTTTGAGAATGAACATCATGTTATTCAAAATGAACCCTATGTTGTCAATTGCCTCACTTGGAATGAACACTATATATATATATAAGAATGAATCTGGTGTTTTAAATTGTGAGATCTAAGGGTTAGGATTGCATCAAAATTAGGTGCACCAAAATGGTTTGAAAATGCATCACGTCGAAATGCACCAAAATCCTTTGAAAATGCATCAACTCAAAATCTGAGCGCAGGATGCAATCTGAGTCGTACGATGCATCAGATCCAAAGGCTTGATTTTATTCTTATTTCTTTCACCAAGGTGCATTCTCATGTGAACCGGCCCCTATATATATATATATATATATATATATATATATATATATATACATATACATATATATACATATACATATATATATATATATATATATATATATATA